AAAAAAAGAATAATAATACTCAACAATAGACGTATGAACCCAAAATCAGTAAGTTGATTTCTTCCCGTTTGTCTCTGACACGCAGTTTTAAAATGAATGAATTTTGATTCTCTCAGAACCAATGATGGGGACTTGAGTCAGTTGCCTGGAATTTTAATTTTCTGATTGTAGAGAAGTGGTTAGAGTAGATAAAAATGCAATAATTTGCTGTTTTGAAAATCAGCCCTCAGAATGTGGTGCACATAGTTTCTGGAAAAGAGCATGGTCAGAATTTCCTCTTTTCATATTCCTGGTCTAAATTAAGCATGACCAAAGATTGGCCTGCATAACTGGCTCAGGAAACGCCACAGAGTCGCACAAACAGAACTATGCTCAGGCTTTCGCTGAAACACAGAATTTCTCTATGGCCCGTCTGTTTAGTCCCAAGCACTTGTCAGTAAAAACAAAAGAACAGACCAGCACAGACTGATTTCCCCTGCCTTTTCAGAGGAAACACACACCAATGGGCCTGACTCTGAGCTAGTCCAACAAAGAGTCCAGTGGCAGCAAGCAAATGCCAGAAAACAGCTTTCACTTGTTGTTTCTTAGTATCTGGAGATCTGTCCACAGCCCTGTCCCTGGCCATCAAAACAGAGACACACAAATATAACGCTCGCATACAGCCAGACACTCCCTGCCACAAAAAAGACTCTCACATCCAGGAAATGAAAAAACATTCAGGCGGGGAGGATAATTAAACGAGCGGGGAGCAGAATTGACGATGAACCGCTGAGTGTTTAGACAATGAAGGTAAAGGTGTGTGAATGTGTGTGTTTAGATATGTGTTGGTGTGTCTTCTGTCGATATAGTGAGAGACGTTTGTGTGTGTGTGTGGGGGGGGGGCAAGAGAAGACAACAGCAGGATTTGCGGACAAGCTGTAGGAAAGTGATTTAGTTGTGTTTTCTTGAGAGACAGCAGCCCTGGTGTTCGAAAACAATCAGCTGTGACACTGACCAACTGTAAGCTTACCTTATTACTTTTTGTTTTCAATTCATATTTCCTCTCTTCGTTTTCCATTGATCACATAGTCTCCCTAATCAATTGACAGAAACGCTTTGCTATAATTCATCCCGTGTTTTCATAAAACAAAATATATGTAACTATGGTAATCCCTTCAGTTAACATTATGTACATAAATACAACAGTGGAATTGGAATTGTTTTATACGTTTATATACACTTACCTTGAGCAAAATCTTCAAGTTGCCTTTGATACTTTGTTGACTTTGCTGTCATATATTAAACTGAGTGCTTGATCAAATACATCCGCAGTGTGCATAGAAACACATTGACCCCGACACAAACAGAAACCAATACACACTACATGCAGTGACACATACATTTCCAATTACTCAGTGGTTTGCTGTTTAATGATTTGACTTTGACGTTAGGGGAATTAAATGGTTGACTTGTCCGACTTTAGCAAGGCATTTTCTTCATCTCCATCCTCCTCTCCTCCCTGTCTTCCTTTCTCTCCTCTACTCTGCATAGTAATGCCTTTGAATTGAGCTGTTCATTCAGCCAAGCAGAGATAAGTGCAGAATTGCAGGATGAACACAATAGAGAAAATAAAAATTGGGATGGGGGTTGGGGATGGTGCTCTTAGGTGGAGACAAAAAAAATTGTTTTGTTCTCTTTCTCTTGCAGTCTTTCTTATGAACTGACAAGGGCAAAGAGCAATGTGTGGTTTAAAAAAAAAAAAAAAAAAAACATCCCCCAAATACTCAGCCTAGGCCTTAGACAATAGTTAATATTCAGTTTTCCCCCCTATGTTCATGAAATGAGCTTTACAGTGACATCAAGTTTTGACGCTACAGATTTTCCTAAATAGCATGGAGTTCAGGCTACATCTGTGCATGTGTGGACTGTTCAACCATTCTGGCTCAGCCAATTAGCCAGGAGTGTTTAAAAATAAAAAAAACAAAGAATACTGGAAGCTGAATAGAAAAAAAAAGAAACAAGCAGAATGGATGAAAAAAAATACTGATCAAATGAGACAAACTGATTCATATGTAAAACATGCTAAGCTTGGAAACAATCTAATAGTGAACATTATTGAAGAAATATTTTATTTAAAATGTTTATACTAAATGAATTAGCATTTTTTTCCTTATTTTTCATATCTTAGCAGGTGATACGAGGCTATTCTGAATTAGACATCCTGCTCATTTCATATATATGTGTGTATGTATATATATATATATATATATATATATATATATATATATATATATATATATATATATAATCTGAAATTATAATAAATTTTCTTGTTGCCTGTTAACATGTTGCCCATCTTCTGATCTTCTGAGAGAGCAGACAGCGTGTTGAGCATCTCTCCAGTTAAATGCAATATTTATTTTCTTCAGAAAAACGAGAGCTGTTATAAATATATGGACCTTAATCATTTTTTTTCTTTTCTTAATAGGTATGACCAGCATGTTTCCTGCATTCAGAACAAATGTAACTTCTTTTCTTTTTTTCACAGTTTGTGACATTCATACCGTGCTGAGTGAGTGCTGCAGTCTCTTTCAAAAATACTGCCACTGAGTAAGACACTTAACCCAGATCTCCAGGATGTGAGCACCTGCAGAGAGCTGAAGCTCCAGTTAAAGTATTCTGAAAGGCTCTGCGATGACTCATGTGGAGCTGTGTAAATTTGAGGCAAGGCGATAGTAAAACCATGTTTGTGTTTTCAGTTAACCTTTTCCTGGATAAATAAAGATTAAAAATAAAAGCAAGGAACAGTGGATGTTCAGTGGCTCTGAGCTTACCATGAACTTTTGACCATCTCCTTTGCAGATAGCATATCTTCAGGGGTACATTCCTGGGTCACTGAGGAGTCGGGTCAAAGCAAGACTGTCTGAACTGTTTTCTGTTTTTTTCCCCCCCCTGCTACAGTCGTCCTCTTCCCTGGCCACTCCAACTCTTATCTGAAAAAGCACATGGCTGTGTGGTGTATTTCTCTCAACTTGTTACCTACTATGTTATTAATGATTTGTCTCCCCAACGGTTTACGCCAGCTGCTCTGTGCATATGTGTGTGGACGAATGGCACAGGGAATAGGACTGTGGCGAGCATGTTTATTTCACACAGGAGGGGGAGGAACAGAGGTCGAAAACAGTTTAGGGCGTGTGTAGAGGTGGATTATTGGACAGTTAGAGGTTGTCCCCTCGTATTTTCGTCCGAGTGAAGAAATGGAGCAGGAAAACCGAAGACAAGGGGAGGAAAAGCGTTATTATTATCTTAATATAAACGATATTACCATAGGCTGTACACAAAATAAAAGTGAAACAAAACGGTTCGTAGGAGCATTTCACTTGGATTTCATCACATCTGCGACACATTCAGCTATTGCTCTATAACCACTACACCACAAAAATAAAAAACAGAGTCATATACAAATCAGGAAACAAGATTGAATATGCTGTCGGGAGATTCACTCCAGCAGCCTGTCATTGAGATCTGACATCCAATCCACTTACAGCAACGATGCATGAAACAACAGATGAATGCAACTCATGCTGTCAAGCTTTGATGAATATAAAACAACTTGGACATGTCCCAATCATAGGCTTTGTATGAGAAATGGACATAGCCACTGTGACATCACCCAGTTTCATGTACACTTCACTTTTGAGGCTTTTTTATTTTATTTTTTTTACACCTTTGGGTTTTAAAGTTAAGGAGTTAAAGGTGAGGTGCAAAAGATGATGCGACTGAGATGGTTTTTATATCAATAAGGAAAAACAGAGTTTTTTTCCTTGTTGATATAAAAGTTTTATATATACACTATGAAAGGGATTTGGTAAGATAAAATCGGAGGAGAGTCATAAAATTATTGAACAAAAACATCCCATTTATAATTTGGTACCTGTTTTCAAATTGTGATTGCCAAATTTGTCGAAAAAATATATAAATATGTAAAACAGAAACTTTTATCTTCAATAGAAATAAGTGTTTTTTTTTTGGCTTGAAGAAGCAATCTGAACTAATGCAAAAATACAAGAGTATTTAGCATTAACTTGTTCTTTTTTTTTCCCACATTTACTCTAACTATGCTATGTATAATGTAATGAGGCAATTCTGGAGTAGTGCTGAAAAAAACAGTAATATTATATGGGGGGGAAGAAAATACATCATGTATGTTCTAGGTTTGGCTTTCCAACGTAGCAAAAGCTTATTTATGTGTTTGCTTTCACTTCAGTTGATAACATATAGTGCTGCAGAGTTCATAGGGCAAACAATCCCCCTGAAAAAAAGAAAAAATATGAGCCTGTATTGAAAATCTAAAACAATCAAAGGTGTGTATAAAGCTGCTTAATCTTCTTAAACGGGTTGAACCTTCATAATTCGAACTATGTTGTTGGTCGAGAGTCAAAAGACCTTGCTAGCACTTAGCCATTAGACTGGGATGGCATATTGTAGGAGAAATAGGGTTTAATATTTTACACTTTCATAAAATAAACAACAGCAAATATATTTAAAAAAAAATAATCCAGCCAGACGTAGTTCTTACGATTCCCTGCGTGGCTGTTAGCTACAAAGGCTGACATAACCAAACAGCAATTCCAACAAGAGCTGTCATCATTGTCAAACTTTTAGTGTCACCAGTGATATGCTTGCTTGGTCTTTGGGGGCTTGTTCAAGTGTCTCCGTCTTGTGATGCCAGATGCTTACCATCTCCACTGTCTGTCTTCCTCGTATTGGGTTTAGTCCCGTCACTGCTGTTCCAATTGGAAAAAAAAAAAAAAAAAGCATTGGCAGCAGTTTATTTTGAAGCACATCGACATATCTTACTTGGGCACATCTTCTGTTTTTATTAGCTTTTAGCTGGATCTTATAATAAACCATACGGTTTTTTGCTAGGTTTTTGGTGATAATGTATATATAAGTCTTACAGTTATGCATTTGTCTTTGAATATTCGTTCCTCATTGTTGTTTTGTTTTGTTTCTCTCAGGCGTTCTCCGGAAACTCCAATTCAGAAAGTGCAGTTCGCCATGAACTGCAGCAGGGAATTGTGGCTCGATTCCTCAGGCTCATCCCAGTAGGCTGGAGTGAGGAGGGACGTATTGGGCTCCGCATAGAAGTGTACGGCTGCTCATACTGTGAGTTAAGGCAAACATCTTCTCAGATATTGGTTTGGCATTGATTTTCTAACAGCTGGAAGCTATAGTTCCTCGATTGTTCTCAGACATGGCACTGTGTGCTGGAAAATACATAATTCCACCCCTTCAAAAATATTTGTTCTTTAAGCTCTTCTCTTATAGATGTCATATTCTGATTTTTTTTGGATGCATTCTGCATTTTAATGACCTTAACACAGACTGAGGATCTGACTGCATCTTTATGAACAGTCTGTCTTATTCAAGTCAACTACATGACTTTTTTTTTTTTTCCAATAACCCTCAAAATATATTCAGAAATTTAAAACAGTCGTACTTTGTCTAACCTTGTAGGCAAGCACACCTTTCAAGAGAGTTTCTTTCAGCATCTCAATAATCATGCAGTTCATAGAAAAAAATACTTTTTTCATTTGACGACCAGATCATTATAATATGAATACTAGTTAGAAAAACAACATGGAAGCCAGATTAATGCACAGATTTTAACTTTTTAGGCCATGATGTAGAACTTTTGACCCAAACCTTGAACTGCCATATTCAACAATTTGTTGGTCTGACTTGTTTTTCTCTTTTTTTGCATTTTTAAACACTCGTTGCAACCGTTTCCTCCATTGAAATAATAATTTTAAGAGGCTTAAGATTTTAATCAAAACTGTAGAAAGGACCTTCCTATTACTAGAATTAACTAATTTAAACTCTGTATCAAAAACGGTAGCATTTTTCCTGTACATGAATAAAATAAGTATAATGTTGGCAAATGTGAAAGTGAACAAAAAAAGTTGTCAGATGTTCATATCGCAATATGTCGCAAAGCAATCTGTGCTAATTTCCTGATTGATTCTTATTGGGATTTTAGGATTTGTAGACTTTAGCCACATAAAATTGATACTTTTAGCTCTTTGTGACATATTAGTATATATCACACACATAAAAAAAATTGTCAAAAAAGAATTATAAATTATTCAGTTTATTACATAAATAACTTTTAAGGTCACTGATAAGAATCAAAGTGCTGAAGCTAAATACAGTCTAAATTTTGTCAGATATCTTCTGGGTTGGTTGAGTTTATTACACTTAAGGACTGAAATCATGTCCATTACTCTCTGGGACTTTATTTTAAAGTTAATTGTATCTTTTAGACACACTCTTACAACACACTTACGCTTTGCCACACAAAAAATAATTTTTAGTTCCATTTCATGGATCCACTTAAAGTGATTTATAATGGTTTGTCAGATGTATTGTAGTCATATTTAAGGTTTGTATTTCACATTAGATGTTCACATAGACCCTTGGTAATGGCTTTAGAAATAAATAAGTGATAAACCTATTTCGCAGTGCACATTTTTAGACTGGAAAACAAAACAGTCACAACCGACTCCTGCTTTTGAGTAAACGCATCATCTAGGGAACTGACTCTCCTGCAACCTCTCCGCTCTCATTCTATTAAAGGGCGCCAAATTGATTTTGATAACAATTTCAATTAAGCCTGTGCATAAATTACTTTTATAAGTGACACACGTACTTCTTTCATTCTGGAGATGTGATTATATAGTGTGTGGATACGTCTGAGCGTGTGTCTAAATGTGTGTGTGAGAACACAAGGGCATGCATTGTATTCTAGTCAGTTCTCAGCATCATTGATTACATTCCCTTGTTTCATTTCCTCCCCGCGTCAAAAGAAGCAGGTAAGTGATGATAAGGATGACAAGATGTGCTACACATTACCCAGAAACACCGAGTCAGACAGATATGTGTTTCTGAAGGCAAGCAGAACAATTTGCGTTAAAACAAAAATATCTGCCCCCTTTAATTTACATCAGTTTTCTCACAGTCTCAGCCGTACAGATTTCACCATGAAAATAATGACGGTACCATATGATATCTTCCCATTATTCAACATGAAGCTGGCTTGCAATGGCCAGGACATTTTTAATTCATATTTAAAATTTACCACAACAGTAAAACTACTGGGTTGACAGTAAATGGTGTGTTTTTTTTTTTTGTTTTTGTTTTTTTTTGTCTTTTTTTAAAAAGTGCCTGTGATGTTTTTGGCAATATATTTTAACAAAAAATATTTTAAAATGTTTGCTGTTTTTTTCTTTAGACAATGTAATGGAGAGAGTGTTACTAAATGTTCATAATGCAAATGTTTGTCCATCAAAAGTTTCATGTGAACGTTTTATTTCCTAACCGCAAAAAAAAAAAAAATATATATATATATATATATATCTTTATCTTTTCATGAGAAACGCTGGCAAGTTTGTGATTGCAGCATGTTTTTCTTTTACTTTTTTAAGTCTGTACTGCGAAAGGAAAACACACAATACAATTATGATACTGCTCTCCAAAACAAAAACTATGTCGTCAGCAACAGAAAGTGTAAATGTTTCACAGAACACAGCCGGGACGTGCAAAGTAAAATCACACTTTTTCTTTTCAAAACTAAATTATGTAAACATGTCGTAAGATTAACCTTTTTCACGTAAACATTTCTTCCTTTTTTGCTTTGGAGCATTGTTCAACGGGTTATCTCTAAAGAACGATGTAATATAAAAAAATTCAAAAACATCTGTTTGTTGTCAAAAATGAGCTCGGAGTTTGTTTCCGACAGATAAGAACGTTGCCCACCATGAGTTGACATCTGTTAGATTACAAATAATAAATACACAACGTAATAAATAAACACATTCTTTCAACTCAGATATAAGTGATAACAGAGAGATACTCACAACTGCTTGCACATGCACACGCCCCCCGGTCAGATGCATCATATTTCAGAGATGTCTGTCAGCTGTGTTTTGAAGCCTGCGGTGCTTTCTCATGATTACCCTGTCACTACTCCTTCCTTCAGCATTCAGTCAGAAAATGAGAACACATACATTTGTCTGTTCTTCTACCCACCCTTCTCTCCCTGACTCCTCAGCTTCTTAGAATCTGTCCCTCGTAAAAAAAAAAAATGTCCTGCTTCCCAAACGAAAGATAAGAGGAGAGGTACAATGTAGGCCCATGACCAAAAAAACAAAAAAAAAAAAAAACAGAATGAAAAAGGAGAGCACAAAGGAGAAGTAGTGGGAGGCGAAGGAGGCAGATAAATATAGATGTTATGTTCCAAGCATAATCGCCAAATATGTTGGCTGTAGATGAAAATCCTGGGTTTTCAGAGTGTGTGATAATTAAATGCAATGCCACATTATGACTCATCTAAGACTTTGCAATAAAAGTGAGTGTCTGTGCGTGTGCGTGCGTGCGTGTACATCTGTGCCAAAACTAGGGGTTGTAAAGCAGACATGATCTACCGTGCTGTGGAATTTACATGCTCATTTCCATTACGATTAATGTAAAATGTAGAGAAAAAAATCTATTAAATCATTGTCGAAAAAAGACACAGCATAGATTATGTGTTTAATAAATCAAAGTCAGAAAAAAAAATTGTTAAAAAATGTTTGGATTAAACAGTGATTAGGGAAATTTCAAAGGAGTGCCAGTGTGTTGCAAAATTGTTCATATGCCTTTTTCACTGTTTGTAACATTACAACCACAACAAAAATATAAAATGATGGCTAAATAATGCATGACTGCCTTAGTCATTTAATAAATAAAGTATGGCATGCATTTTTATTTAGCCCCATTTTAATCTTAAATTAATCCCACTGCAATCATTGCCGTCAGAATTAGCCGTGTTGGCAAAGAAACACCACCTGTGTATAATTTGTACATCATAAAAAGTTATTTTATGAAGGCCTCAAAGGTTAGTGAGAGTAAACAAACAAAGATCAATAACCTTAAAACTGCAGTAAGTAACTTTCACATATATAAAATAAAGTTATCTAATTGTTAATTTACATACTCTTTTCCATTAAAACTTGTCAGTATGTCATGACAGTATGAAGTCCCCTGATATGAGGCAGATAATCTCTAAAAAGATCAAACTCCTCTGCCTTCTACCAGTTCTCAAATACACAAGGGTGATTGACAGCGCTAGCACCTTTCTCCTGGCTCTGATTGGTTGTTTTTGACAAGAAGTGGCGCATTTTCTTGGATGACAATAGTAGTACTGGGAGAAAGTGAAGGAGCTCAATATGCTAAGATTATCTGTCACTGTTATGTCAAAGTGACAGTTTTAGCAAATATAGTTATTTTTATAAAGGTTGCGTACTACAGCTTTAATGTACAAATTAGAAACAAAAAATGAAGAACTTTAAACGTTTGTTTGTTTGTTTTTTTAATAAAACAACATCCTTGTTTTGAACATCTCATTGAATCCATCTACCCTAATTGGAAAAGCATATGACACAATTGCAAACTTATGAAATTGTAGTTGGGGCAGGTTGTCCACTCCACCTACAATTTTAGGTCAGGTCAAACAAGAAGAAAATTACTCATCCAAACTGTCCCAATGTAACTTTAGAGGAGCATCAGAGGTCCACAGACCTTATTTTGCTGGAGACATTCACAGATTAATGTATTTCATCAATAGATGGACAATTAAAAAAATATTTTAAAAAATCAATTTCAACTGTTTTAATTTCAAGTTTGTCATATTGCAGTGACCTTTTTTTTAAGACTCTAATTTGTTGCACAGATGGCAAGGCTTGTTTCCATGGAGACATTTTAACCTCCTAATAACTTGGTGCAGTACTTGACTGACCGTAGTGGGACCCATGTGGCATCTCTCTGGCATAGCTTTACACTATTGAATAATATGTGTTTAATGAGCTGGATGGCACCTAAAAGCCTTATTAAAAAAAAAGAAGTATGTTTGTGGTCAAATCTACACCCAGGTGGCTAGTCAATGTAAAATAATTGATTTATAATACATAGTTTAACTGTTGATTGGTCTTTCTCGCACTACATTTCTATGTATTTTCTCTACAAGATGTATTCAGAAAGCTATTTGTGGGTGCTAAAGAATTCTCCAGTTGTCCATTTCAAAATTGTCCATCTAATTTTGAAACTTAGAAAGAGTTACACAACTGTTCCTAAAATTGCTACAGCGAGCAGGTCTGTGTTTAGACCACTGGCTATTTCCCTTGGCGTCCTCAGGGGTAGGATGTTAATCCTTTTCATCGCTTATTCTATCAGTTAAAAATGATGCGTTCACTGATTTATAATGTGCAACATCACTTGTTGATTTTGTCGGCTCAGATGTTCTTAATGGTGATGATAATAAAGTTCAAAAACAAAAGGAATAAACCACCTTAAATTCTTGATTTACTTGGAAAAAAGGACACTAAAATAGACAAACATTGTTTCCATTGGCTTGATTTAATGTCTTTCAATGCTCCTGGATTTATTTTTAAAGTAATATTCTTTAAGAATCGAGTGCAGAAAGAAAACAGGTAGAGGAAGCAAAGCAGTTTCAAAACTGGGGAAAACTGGAGAAAATTGGCGATGATCATTAATCCACCCCCAACCCAAGATTGCAACAAGGCAGAAGATGGAACTGTATGCAGAATCTGACATTGATTATTATAATAGGTTTGCTAAATATCATTATGTTTCATAAATGTGACAACCTGAACAGATACTTTAGAATGAGAAATATTGCATCTTAATTATGGATGTTTGTGGTCAGATTTTTCATTCTGTTCTCTCTGCCTTTGTTACCTAAAATCCACACGCAGACACACCAATGTTCTCTACACCAACCCCTTGAACTACTGGAGTGATGTTAGAAAGCTTGAGGACATGTCTCAGCCACTTCACCTTATTTTTCTCTGAAAACCTGAAAAATCTCATTCTGTTTGTTGTATCCTTTTTGTGCCTAGGCTCTGGTTTAGCAGCACTTGCGAGAGTCAAAACGTAAACGATTTACTTTCTTGTAGGGCAACGTATAGTATCAGACTGACGATATGTACAAGCAGAGAATATTCAGCTGATATGGACATTAATTATTGAAATTTTTACATCTATGTATTTCTAGCATGCGTTATGTTCAGAAAAACTAGGTACATGGAACGATGTTGTCAGGTGTTCTGCGCTTCGTCCCCCTTATTACATTGTCATGTCATGTTTCTACAGAAGCCTGTACAGATCAAATCAAATATCAACTGTATAATAGGCTTTCTCACTTCTTTATGATAATCACAACTTTTCCTACACACTTTTATTTAGAAGAGAATGAAAGGGTGTTAGTTGGTTGTAGGCTTTGTATTTTTTGTTTCTTATTACCCTCACTCAATTTTCAAAACTAGTCATTAGTTGGGTGTTGAGACATTACATTTCAACAGGCTTTTATATGTGTATTTGTGTATTAAAGGGATGCTGTTAATTGGATTGACTTGCATATGACGGGTGGTCATCATGAACATTTTTTTTAAATTAAAATCTGCAGTTCTTAACATTTGTCATGTATTTTTCTTGGTCTCTTTTAGGGGCAGATGTTATCAACTTTGATGGGCAGGGAGTAATCTCATATCGTTTTAAGGTACACAATCTACAAATTCATTATTTCATTCTTCAAAACTTACTGTTGCAAAACAATACAGCAATACAGTTGGTTTTAAGTTACCATATTTTTCGGACTGTAGGCCGCTACTTTTTCCCCACGCTTTGAACCATGGGGTTTATAGCCCGGTGCGGCTTTTCTGTGGATTTTTCTTCAACCACCAGGGGGCTCTTTAGCTGGAAGGGACTCATTGGAAGTCAAAATTTGAAATCAAAGAAGAAAGTGCTGATTTTCATTTAGAACAAGCACATGTATGCTAGCAGCAGGCAGGGCAGAGAAATGTTTTCAAACTCATACGCCCTCATCATGGAAACCACACAAAGAAGTTTATATGATGGAGTTTTTAAATTGAGGGCGGGAGCAGCGGAGATACCAGCAGTTTATAGCCCAGTGCGGCTACGGTACGTTTCCAGTTTATTATTATTATTTATTTATTTTTTTTACTTTGTGGGTGCGGCTTATAGTGTGGTGCGCTCTATGGTTCGGAAAATATGATTAGTTTAAAAAAAAGATTCATGGTGGTCTGTCTAAATGTAAATTATTTCCATTTTTGTATGAGCAACACTATGGATTTGGTGTTTTAAAATTTTTACAGGTGAAGAAAATGAAGATTATAAAAGATGTGATCGCCCTGAGATTTAAAACATCAGAGAGCGAAGGTGTAATTCTCCATGGGGAGGGGCAGCAGGGTGACTACATCACTCTGGAGCTCCGCAAAGCCAAGTTACTACTGCAGATAAACCTGGGTGAGTAATAAATCTGTGTAATGTGCAGGGAAATGAAGCAAAGAGGTTATCTGCTTGCTGACTGTCCAGAAGAGTATTTTTGAAAATATGCAACTGCTTCAAGTTTTTACAGTCAGGTGGTTGTTGAATTCCTTTATTCAAAGTTAATATATTTGTAAGGTCATTACTTTCCTTACATATCACTTAATTAATATGGATTTTTTTACTGATGGAAAAAATACACAAAATCAAGTTTAAATTTTGTTAGCAAAAATTAGAAAATATTTCTTGATTCTTTTGATAAATTCTCCACAATAATGAGGTAAATTTACACTGAAACATTTTGCACCCTATTGTGAAACTGTTTAGACTTTTTTACCAGTTCTAGACTATGGAGATAAATTTTGTTTACATATGCACTTGATATTGACTATTTAATATTTGTGTTTTTCAAAACATGACCTTGCAGTATACATTTTAACTGACTTTAGACTTGTCTCAAAGGACCATTATGTGAGAATATAAATAATAGAAGCAAAAAAAAAAAAAAAAACATTTCTAGTAATATGAGTTATATTTATAAAACAGGATTGTACTATTGGGAAAAAAAACTAGAATGACAGTCAACATTTTAAACTGGTGTCATCATCTTACTTTAGTGGCTATTGTCAGCATGGCTCGTGCTACGAGAGCAGAAGCCTCTGTGCATATAATGTAGAGAATGTAGATACTAATCTTAACTCTGAGATTTCTGAAATGAAATATATTTAATGAAAGACAGCGGTTGAAAACTCAAAAGAATAAAACGTAGCTGCATCTTCATACTCCACTTAGCCTTCTGTTGTCTGTCAAAAGTCTGATTGTCTCTCACACCAAAAAATAATAGCAAAATTGTACATCTAACTATGTCCAACATAGTAGAGCTTCCTTTTAAATAGCTTATCGCATCTCTTTATTTGAAAAATGTAGTTCGTACTGATCAGAATAGCTAATTTTTGCTCTTTGTAACTCAATAAGCCACTAAGCCTGTCACTGTAAGCAATAAATCAGCTAAACACATAAAAAGTAAAAACAAGCTCAATAATTTTCATTTACAAGGTTGTTTTACTTGTCACTCTCTTTCTACCAAAAACTGGATGACATCAATCTGGTGCACTAGTCTCAATTAGCCCCATGTTGAAAGGCAATTTTGTGTAAACAGATTTCAGTATCCATTTAATTTGTTATTTCAAGTCTTTTGTTTATTCCTCTTGGATATTTAAATTGTCTTCCAGTTCCAGTGTTAAAGGTTCATTAGAAATGAAAGATTTTTGGTTTTTGACGAGGTGTATTTGTATTTCTATGCCATTACTATTTTATGAGGTGAAAATGATCTCAAAATAACAATATTTTTGTTTATCTTAACTTCTGGAGCAATTTGTCTTCTAGTAAAATTTATCATGACAGACCAACAATCCTCAGAAAAAATTGTTGTCTACGTCACCCAACTTAGTATTGTGCATCCATTAAAAAAAAAAAAAAAAAAAAAAGTTTAGTATTTTTCTACTGGGATAGCTAATAATGACATTTTGTAACTCACTTTAGATGTGCTTTACAGGCAGTAACCAGTACGGCTCTATCCTGGGTCACACTTCTGTGACCACTGGCAGCCTCCTGGACGACAATCACTGGCACTCGGTGGTGATCGAACGCTACCGTCGCAATGTCAACTTCACCTTAGACGGACACACTCAGCACTTCAGGACTAATGGGGAATTTGATCATCTCGACTTAGACTATGAGGTGAGCACTTTATATGCAACACAGGGCACACATGTAGAAAACGGCACCAACAATTAATGCACTCTGTTTAAATTTAGACATGTGTATACAAGCTCTTGATGCTTGCATGAAAGCATCTAGAAAACTCAACAAGTGAGGGAAATATTAGATTCTACCTCGGTTTCTTTCAAAAATCTGCCAGCTTGGAATGTTTTAAGAATGGCCGTCCTTTGGCATGGTCAAATTTTTCAACAAAAGTTCTTTGACAGTCATGTTTGAGTTAAAGCATGAGAAAAAAATTGCAGGCATTGAAAAAAGTAAAACATCAGACATATCTGTGTCAGCTTTACATGCAATAAGTTGCGTTATGCAACATACGTCAAGTAGCTGATAACATTGAAGCTCCAAAAACTATTCCACTGTTCCCAGTTGTGCACAGTATTGTTGGGGTCAGCATTGTTGCTGCACAGGAAGAAGATCTATGATTTAAACTAAGCTCTGCAGGCTTCTTTTGTGTTGCATTGTACCCTTCTTGGTAGACTTTTTTCTGATGTTCCCACTTCTTCCTTAGTCCCAATCCATGTTAGGTTAATTGGTGATTCCACATGGATCGTGAGTGTGAGTTTATCCTTGTTCTCCCTCTGTGATGAACTGGTGACCTGTACCCCTTGTGACAGCAGTGATAGGCTCTCCAACCCCCCAGCACTTCCTCCTCCCTGGACCCTGAACATAATAAAGTGGGTATAGAAAATGAATGAATATATGTGGTTTTATGAGTTTCTCCCTCACATCTGACACCATGAGCCCTCCCATAAAAAAAGACTATTTTGTATTCATGTTACAAGGAATGGACGTGAGCAGTATGCTTAAACTGGATCCCCATTTCTTCACTAGTATTTGTAGTGCTGCGTAACGCATACAGTGCCTTGCGAAAGTATTCATATCTTGAAACCACAAACTTGATTATATCTTATTGTAAAAAAAAAAAAAGAAAAAAAAAAAACATTGTAGAGAAGTTAAAAGCAAGTTTGGGGCATAAATCAATAATTTAAGCTTTGAACACCTCACGCAGCACTGCTCAATACATCATCTGAAGATGGACAGAGTATATGGTACAACTGCAAACCTATCAAAACATTACTATGCACATAATCTGACAAGGCATTCAAGAAGACCCGACGTTAAGAGGAGATGCTACAGAGATCACCAAATCTGGTTAGTTGCAAAAAGTGGCAAAAATAAAGTCATTGTTGAAAGTGGAAAGTGTGAGTTTGCAGTTTGTAAGCTACACACCAAATATGTGGTAAAATGTGCTTTTGTGAAATGAAATCTAAATCGGACCTTCTGTCTACATGCAAAACGATACACGTGGCTGGAATTCAACACTGCACACCAACCTGAGAAAACTCTTTCCGCCATGAAGAGTGGCAAATGCAGCATGCCGCGAAGATGCTATTCCTCAGCTCAGATAGTGGAGTTAGTAAGAGTTCATTTGAAGATCCAAGAGTAGTCCTGGACGGAAACTTGTTAAAGGCTAGGAATCACTTAAGATGTAGGAACAGGTTCAATTTCCAGCAGGACTAAAATTCTCAGCATCCAGTCGGAGTCAAAATGGAAATGTTTAGATCAAAGCATGTTCATGTGTTAGAACGACACAGTCAAAGTCAAGACATAAATGAAACTTATAATCTTTGACTGTACTTAAAAATTGATTTTCACACCTGGCTCTTCACCTAATCTGACTGAGCTTCAGGTAAAAAAAAAAAAGAGAGAGAGAGAGAAATCTTCACTCTCTGGATGTAGAAAGTTGGTAGAGACGTATCCAAAAACACTTGAGGCTGTAATTACAGCCAAAGGTGGTTCTGCATTACATTGAGTCACAAGGCTCGAAGACCAAAGTCCACCACACAGGGCTGCACAATATTAAGTAGACATAGGGTATGCATCAATGAGATTAAGTTATGATGAGGATATGACTTGTAATGAGACAAGGAATAGTGAACTAAATAGTGATAATATCTTTTCATTTTGGATGTTTTGCAAATACAGACACCAGATAATGAACTATCTATGCAGAATCTGTAAAGAAATGTATTTATTATTTCCATCTCAACACACAGTTTTAGTGCATTTGACTGCATTTGCTGTTTTGACATTGAAATAATCCAGTTTAAGTTTCCTAATGATTTTAACATATTAAGTGTGCTTGTCAAACCATTTCTGCTGCAGAATTCATGATAACTTTATAATTTCTTATTATTGATTGCATTCCAAGCAGGGTTTTTCTTTTCCAATATTGATTTTTCACATAGTCACATAATGATATATTTATTTTGTGCACCTCCATCACCGGAATTTTTTTTTTTTTATTGAAAAAAACCTTCTCCATCCAGGTTTACATTTGTAAAACATTGAAGGGACTGTGTAATTGCAACTTTGGTACTGGTAGTGTGTTTCAGGTTTCTTAACTGTGGAAACGCTGGTTTACATGCATGCCGCTTTATCAGTTCTCAGTTTAAAATGACCAAATTGTTATTATTAACAACTTTCAGATAAAATCCACACTTTCCCAATACATCAAAGTACAAACAAAGTTTTCCAACAATAACTAATAACTAATATTTGTATATTTTGTTTTATTCTGTTTCATGATGTTGCATTAGATTCTTTTCAACATTACTGTGCCATCGCTTAACTGATTTGCAACAGGACTTTTAACCTCTCACCACTGGTGCTCAGTAAAGTACGCTGATGCTGGCCAGGAAATTAAATATTGGCTTCTGCATGTGCTCTGGTGCTAATCCATGAAACTCATAATTACAGTTACCCAGTAATGGATGCGATTCATTCAACTAATACTACTGAAAACAGGAAATTGATAGTAGAATGATAGTAGAATGCATATGGCAGTGGGCATCATGAGTACAGGGAGACTGTGTGTGGCACAGTAACTGTGTTTGTATGTTTGTCTGTTAGTTCTGTGTTTGGTTTGTGTGCTACTGCGTGCCCTTTCCGTGAATATTGCTTATATGGCTAATCTAATCCAGTGTTAAGTAGGATGCTGAGAAATGGAGCAGAACAAAGCACAGTCCAATTAGAACTGAAGCTGTTGAATTAAAGAATCTTCAGGGAAATCTATACAACCGGGTGTACTGTACCAGGAGGTTCAGAGAACACGTGTGCCTGTGTGTGTTTTTGAGAGTGATGTGTCTGTGGTGTATCTTGAATCCATCCACATTAATTCTCTTCACAGACTGCAAAATTGTGACCAGCTTTTAGTCAAAGTGTACCTGTGTAGTTCACACTCTCCTGTGTGCGTGCGTGTGTGTGTGTGTGGATTTTTCTGCTTCTCTTTGGCTTCCAGCTTGTAGACTAAATATCCGGGTGCATCAAAGTCCACCCTTGGTAGTAATTACAGAGCTTGCTGGAGCATAGCCACAGCACAAACAACAACAGGCACACACACTGACAGACACATTGACTGGCAGCCACATACCCTCCTCTATTATCTTAGCGTCCTTTAGGGCCCCGAACTGTGTCTGAAAGAAGAAGAAAAAAGAACAGAACACATGTACAACTGTACAAAAATGTGAAACACACTTTACATTTTCATCAGCGCTGCTGTGTCCTTCAGCACTTCGCACTCCAAGCTTGTTTGTAACTGTCCGTGCCTTAACCTTTGCGTGCTACACATCACATTTGTTCCCCCACTAACCAGTGTGTTATTTCCCACACTGCTAGCATGGTCGCATTAAACAAGTTCTTTTCTGTAGTGTGTGAAAAGGGTTTGGATTAAGTCAATAAAATGTAGATTTTGCTCAGATTAGTGTTGTAACTCCTCAACTCAAACTGAATTCAGTAAAAGTGGACATGATATTATTACTTTGTGTGTACAGTTTGTAAACTGGAAGATACCTTAACCCTTCCACGCAGTCATGAGACGGCGTCTCCTTTGTGTGGTTTCGGGAAATGACAGGCTGACGGGACACCCCCACCCTTTCCACGTAGTCCGACAGTGACATTTTCCTCGCTGCTGTCTGAAGAATTGCACCGCTCCCGGTCAAAAATATCCAATCATAGCACTGGGAGGAAGTGGAGGAGCTTGTTTTTGTTTTTTTTTCCCCCACAGATTAGCATTCTCATATTATACTGTCACAACATCATGACAGTTTTCACAAATGTGTAAAAAAGAAAAACATGTTTTTATATAAGATACATACTGCAGATTTGAGACACTCTGGTATTGTATCTAATGTTGAGGTGAGTGAAGGATGTCCATGTTGCTGATTCCTTCTGACTGCACTCACTATAAGCTATCGTGTTGCACAGAGTGCTGCGTCAGACTAAAGTTATAACCTTGGATAGCATGCTAAGTTGTTCACAAGGCTCTAAACAGAAAGCCTTCTCTTGCATTGATTAATGCTGCTGATAAAAATATTGATGTGGTTTTTTTCCACCACAGAAAAAAACTGGACCTGGAGGTTGAAGACTCAGAAACTTCGAGATTATTGATTTTCCAAAACAAATATAGTACCCGTTTCGGTAGCATTCATGTGGGATGGCTAGGAGAACAGAAAATAAAATCCTTTTTAACAAACTAGTAAGAGATCTATGGTTCCCTTTACACAAAGATACAGATTTAAAAATGTGGCAAATTCCTGGTCCTGGAGACATTAGGACAGCTTTAATCCTGAATGAAAGCAGTGGTTTTTTTATTTTTTATTTTTTATAATGCATAACATGAATAGGTAAAAAAATAAAAGGACAAAGGGCAACTATAAATACTCAAACAGTATTGGGAGTACTTCACCAAGAGTAAGATTCTTGTTAGAGTTTCTCTGTGTGAAATCCTTTGCAGACATTTCTAGAGGTCATCAAAAGATTTCCTCCCTGCCTACACTCTCCCAGTCTTTGATTGCTGACCCACATCATCATTATAGACGTCTAAGTAGTCACTCTGCTTTTAGTCTAGTCCTCAGCACATAAAATGCTTTTCAGTAAAAAAAAAGATCAATTCATTGACATGGTCTGTCTGATACAGTCCACCCCCTCGCGGTTGTTTTGTTCATATATTTAGGGCAGGTCTTTTGACAAAAAGATATATAATACAATGAAGAATCATCAGAACATCTATTTTGCAGATTTGACAGTACATAACCCTGTTATTTAATCCATGAAGTTATATGTATTCTTTTTTCTTTCTGTCATTTTTTATTCTATTGTGTTGTTGAACTTTGAAGCAGAATTATGCCGTCATCAAATTAATCATCTTATTCCGTAGCACTATGCCCATTTGCCCGAAGAAAATACTGAACGGCTTAATTTAAAAACCAAAAATAGCTAAATTACTATGAAATCTTTTACGGTGTGTTTTTCCTCTTTCTTCTCTGCCCCTTGTCTCCTTCTAGTTAAGTTTTGGGGGGATGCCATACAGTGGGAAGCCTGTGGGAGGGGGGAGAAAAAACTTCAAAGGCTGCATGGAGAGCATCAACTACAACGGAGACAACATTACAGACCTGGCCCGCCGAAAGAAACTAGACACTTCCAGCTTTGTAAGTGAATTCCTGTTTGCATGCGCACATGTAGATGCGATAAACTTTGAAAATATGGACAATTGAAATTGCACTCATATAGAAAGCCAATACCCAGCATGCTTGAAACTTCAAACCAACTGAACCATATTTTTTAAGTGCTTAACTTAAAAGACTTGTAAATATCGAGGCGCAAAAGACTTTTTCTTTTTCTGCTCTTAGCGTAGCAGTACAAAGGAAATATTTCACAATGCTGATTGTGCAACATTTTTTTGATAAACTTAGTCGTACAGCTGCTAAAAAGAAATCAACATTGTTCTTGTCTTTGTCAAATGAACTAAGCTCTAAGTGAAAATTAAGAATAAAATGTTGGCACTTCCTGATGTTGTCTCAAAATTAATTTGTGCTTCACCTGATGAACTAATTAGGTCATTAATAAAGTAAAATCATTTTAGTTTTGTAACAATTAACTCAGTTTTGGAGTCTGTGCAAAGCTGGTTACTCGCATTGAGGATGTGCTAATTGGCACACTTTGGTAAATGTGGGGCCAAGTAAACTAAAAAATGACCAAAATTCAACAAACTTTCCATCCTCTTTCCAAGGAAAAGAAAAAGTGATTGTTCCTTGTGGTTCACTCTAGAGACATAATATTCAAACACTGTACAGATTCAGGGTACTCACAGCAACATATCTAGATATAAATAGCTCTTCAAATTTTAGCTCTTATAAAGAGCACATCTATTTCCACTGAATACTTAGTCAGATACTCATATTTTTACTGACTGTGCTGTATCGCCTGGAGAAAGGAATCCAGCTGTGCTTGGTGTGCTTGGCCTAAGGCCCTGTTATACTTCTGGTGAACTGCTATTAGTCAATAAAAGTTGCTTTCTGTGCATCTATTTATTCATCTGTGGAGCTTTACAATCCAAATTTACATTGCTATACAGGCTATTTTTCATATGATTTACAATCATGTACTATTTTACCTTGAATAGTTAATTCTTTTTGAGTAATTTGTCCTGATTTCTCTTCTATATATGATTTTAGACAACAGATACTATCTCTACGCCTAAGCTCTCTTCAGTGACAGTCTTAAATCCATATAGTGTATTTCTCCCCGTTTTTCTGCATTTTCACACATCTAATACAATTTCTTCTATGACCTGGTTGAATAAATGAATGACCTTAACCACAGCCACACCTCTAGCTGTCCCTGATTCACCCAGTCATTTCTTTCCAGTCAAACTGATTGGTTCTCAACTTTTAGAAAACCAAACATAGAAATGCAATCAAGTAAGGTAACACAGTATTGTATGTTTGGCGAAGATTTGATTACGAACACAAGGTTGGAAGTGCTCATGTGAAATTAGTGCCCAAATTCCAGAGAGGTGTTGTCTTTTTTTTGTTGTTGTTTTGTTTTTGAGGGTTTTTTTTCCCCCAGCAAACAGAATTCACACATAATCCTGCTTTAATCCGATATGAAAGACAGCATGAGCCATAGGCAGAGGATTTAGTGAAGTATGCACAGTCGTTCAATTTAGCAACTGTTGGGGACGTCGGAGGTAGAGAGAATGTATTAAAAGCAAATCACAATGTGCTGCTTTTATGTTGTCTCTTGTTTCTTGTCTTTATTCTTCAATCTGTCCTAGCAGCGTAATCTGTCTTTCACCTGCGTGGAGACACACACCTTCCCAGTCTTTTTCAACGCAACAAGTTTCCTGCAGCTACCTGGTCGAGCCAACCACAACACAGTGTCTGTGGGCTTCCAGTTTCGTACGTGGAACCCTGATGCCCTTCTGCTCTTCAGTAATCTCGATGATGGCACTCTAGAAATCTCCCTTGAAGAAGGCAAAATTATAGTTCATATCAACGTTGTGACGGAAGCCAAAAATTACCGGGTGGACTTACTATCAGGTGGGTTACTTAAGTGTTCATTTTTGTCTCTGTGCAGCAGTCCCGATTTGTAACACTTAAGTGTTGCTAATATTTACTCATCGGTATATTCACAGAATCAGATCAAGTCTTAAAACCTATTAATTAAAATACATTTCTCCGAAATTACAATTCAATTTGATTTATGCAGTTGAAAAAAAAAAAAACCCATCCAATTAACCAATAATCATTGGTACATCATGATGCATGTCGATGTAATGTATATTAATCACAAATTGAATAATTTTACCAGGACAAAGCTTGAAATAATAACCATTTGGCTGTTGAATGTTTATTACCATCCAGTGACATTTTATAAGTATTATTATTAAGAGCCAACACACTTTGTTTTTACCACATTCAAACATTGTGGAGTGTTTGTGAAAGTGTTAACACAATACATTATTTTCATAGTAAAATAAATGGTTTATCCATTCTGCTGCCATATTTAAATAGTAAAGTGTACAGCTGGATTTTTTTTTAAACTGAAAAAGGAGAAATGTGTTATTTGTTTTGTTTTGGTTTTTTTTGTTTTTTTCAAAAAAATGTGTCCAGTAAACCTCTTTTATTGCGTTTACTCTTTTCTATGCCCTGTTACACGCTTTCCTTTTGAAGTCTTGTATTTCCCTTTCATTCTTTCTTTTCTCTATCTTTTGCTTTCCTGAGACACATTCTTATTTATTCTGTCCACTGCTGCTGTAATAGACCATTATGCCCAGGGGTTGGGATTATTACAAATTAGCCTTTAGGCTAATTGAGCTTGAGCCTGCGATTACATCAGTATTACTAGAATTCATGAACACAAACATTCCAGATGCAAACACACGCTTCTTCTTTGACTGCGTCACTAGTGTCTGTTAAAAACAAACCCACCAGGCTTCTGGCTTCAATGACACAGTAGGAGCTCAGATGACTTATAATAGTCTTTCTCACTTGCAAGTAAACTCGCTAGATATGTTCTCATAAAACAAAGCAAAAAATAAAAAATAAAAAAATAAAAGCATGTCGGTAAAGAACATGTTAGCACATTAGGGCACCCCAATAATTATATTCCATCTGACAGTAGTTTTTCTCTGTGGATTTTTTTTTTTAATTTAGTGTAAAATTATACTCACTTCTTTTCAGTGAAATAAAAGTTGTGCTTAAAGTGCTTTAATAAAATAGTCAAGATTGTAAACCAGCTTTATACAAATGCTGCCATGCATGTTTCTTAATCAATAAAGGTCACCCTCTATAAGCAAAAATATTATGGTAAATGCAATTTTATGCAAGTTGAAGTAAATGCTTTGAGAGAGAGTGTCACTAATACAGTCTATGATGATGTCATTGTGATCTGAAAAGGTTTAGTCATATTAAGTTTCTTGGTATGTAACTCTAGCACCTATTTTTTTCAAATTTACACTAGATATGCTAGTTACATACATCATTTGTGGCATATTGCTTTTCTATGGTTACCACAATATATATTTCTCCCTTTCATTCTGTAAAAAGTGTTTAGATCTTAATTATATCCATATTTTCTGCCAATCAGACCTTTTATTACCAGGTTTTTTTTCTTTTTTTGTCATCCCACAGTTTGTGTTTTAAAAGAATGAAATACATCTTTATTGTAAAGTTAGAGGATGCCTTATACATTGGGCTTTCTCATCCAAAATCTAACTATTTTTCTATGTTAAAACTGTGCATGTATGTTTTCTTTTCCTACATGCTTGCCTTCACAACCATCATGCTAGCTTGAAATTCTGGACTTCTATGAGTCACGCATGAGATGAACTGCATCGTCCGAAGACGAAGCATGCAACATTACAATAATGAAAATGCCTAGGGCACAGATTATGGGAGGAACAACTCTATAGCTACCCCAAATTACAATACTAAGTTGTTTTTTCGCTTGCTTTGTTTTGGGTGTATGTCTGTATCACTGTATTATTATGCTAATTTCTGGAGTGCGTAGGCAAAGCTTAACATGACATATTCAGAGGCTTTATGAGGTTGGCTGTGAAGTTGTGCAAGGCTCTTCAAATTATCTCGGAAGCCTCCATAAATTTACACTATACAGAATTCATATTAAGCATGTATACTGGATCAAAATCTAATAATCCATAACGAGAGAAAAAAATTAGAGGAAAACTGCCATAGCAATTCAGCAGAAATCTGAAAGAGGAACAGAAAAGTGCAGCCAAACTTCAAAGGGCTTTCATGGTTTTGATAGAAATTAGATTTTCCCCAGTGTTTTATGTGTTTATTACTTTATTTATTTATTTAAATGCTGAGAGCAATCACTAAAATCACATCTCTTAACATTGTTTTGATATTTACAAGACTATTAATCTTTATGTCCATCACAAATTTCCATATCATTGGATAAAACCTTTAATCCACAATTTTCTGTCTTAACCAAGGGAGATAAAATTTGAAATAAGTTAATAGTTCTTTATTAGAAGACATGATGATACCCATCATAGCAGAAGAGAGGGTTACAATCTGCATTCTTTTAATGGATAGCTAATGGATATAAGCTAGACTGGCCATTGCCTTCCTGTGCAATTCCACTTAAAAAAAAAATGCTTCTATTAGTCTTGACTTCTCCCCTTGACTCAGATAGCCTCAGGTCAATTTTTGACCCGTCCACTAAGCATACAGAAAGAGAAGTTATGAATGATGACGTCGCTTATCTGCACTTATATTAGAATTGTAGTCTGCCTTTAGTTTTTGCAATGGCAGCGCAGGAAATGAACAAAGCCATTCAGTCCGTGTTGGCCACGCTTCCAAATATTGAATTAACAGCCATCTCGTTCAGCGTGGCACTTCTCTCTTCACTTCATAGCGTCGAAATGCCAAATTATAAACGTCACGGGCAAATGTTAGCAATTGGGCAAAATTGCTAACAAACTCAGTCCACGCCTCCAGGAAGCAATCATTTCTCAATAGCCGAGAGCCCAGATTCTCTGTACAAAAGTTTGTACAAGGGACTGGTTTTTAGCAGTGTGCACGTAACCCAACGTGTTAGATAATCTAGTGTTGTTTGGCGTTCCAATGGGTATCTCAGTTACTTTGAATTTTTTATTGTTTAGCACATAATAGTTTGCTGTGCAGTATGGCTTGCTAATGTTGTGGAAAACCAATAAAGTGAAATAGGAAAAGTTTGCAAATTCCCATTTGGACACTTGCACTTAGCTACAAACTTAGAGACAGTTAATTAATTCTTTAGTTTTTTCTTTCTCCTGCAAAAACCTCCGTTTGTAGAACAGAAGATATCATCACATTGCAGACATGAGAAATTTCAACAGGTAGAGTTACTTATAAGTTTTAAATTAATTGTGTATACTTTAATTCAGTTTCTTTATTTAGAGTGTATGTTGGTTTAGCTTTGTTTTATTTTGCATGTACATCACTTGGTCATGTTCTGGATGTTTTAAAGTGCTGTATTGATTTTTTGATTGATTGACAGACAACCATCTTTTTTTTGTGAGAAGCAGCAGGAATGTCCAGTAGAGTTATTTCATGCCGGTCCAGTGAACAGCACGTAACTTGAATCTAAATGTTAGCCATGTCCAAATCCTACGTAATGCTACAGTGCTTTCAGTAATGCAGACCTGTGGTTTGGTAGACACCCTCCAATATTTGTGAAGACTCTGTGACAAGTGAACGTTCTGTATTGAATGATCTCAGATGGGCATTTGGAGAAAGTACGCTTTAGAGTTTCTGTGAAATCGGGATGTAAACATTTAAAACCACACAAAGATACTTATTTTTATGTTAGTTTTTCATTCTATAGATCACACAGCATTGAAGAGATGCTCTGTGAACAAAGTACAGATTTTGAGCAATGTTTTATTGATTTAACCAGTTATCATTTAATAGATGGATTAGGTAATAAATTTATCCACTGATAATTAAAAGAAAAAAGTTAAATATTTGATGTTATTATTCATTCTGGACTTACTCCGAGGGTGAGACACATATTTTACATTCTGTATTTTCCATCTCCCTCTCTCTGGGTTTTCAGTCCATTCTTAGTATTCCTCAGCTTCACCCTCTGTTCCACCAACATGTGTCTCAGAGCTCTTGGCTCATTCCTGATATCATTCCCAGTCTGTCTGTCCATCTGTAAACTTTGTTCAGCGTCTCCATACTCTTATTCAGCACATGTTGCAGTCAGAGGGGGCAAAAACACCACCAGCAGAGTAATCCTCATTATTCGACATTCTTTTCAGGACAAAGGTTGGGAAACAAATTGTCTGTTTTCTGTAAACATATTGAAATTGCCACTGGCCGTTGGTGTCGTCACATTTCGTTCTGTGGCACGATGGCATGATGTGACATGGTTCATGTCACTGCTTTCTGGTGCTGATCACATCTGATTAAACCTTTTTAGAGTGTTTCTTTTCAAAGTAGATTAAAATAATCAACTGTTTCTGGTTCTAAATGAAAATCAGCCATTCTGTCCTTTAGCAGCTGTGTATCTTTAGTCCCGTTCTGATCAGCAGAACAAGACTAACATCAGGGAGTGTGTTGCACTCAGGACTGCAAGCACAACCCTAAAATAAGCTTAAAGAACATCTTACAACCACAACGTCTCACATGGAGGCATTGAAACTAACAGGAGCACAAACCCGTAGGTAAAAAGAGATGCAACGGATCCATTTCACCTGTCTGCACAGCGGTTGGCAGATCGCACTTTCAGTCATACTGTGAAGGACTGACTCCTGCTGTCCCATCAGAAACAACAAGCAATATTTTCTCAAAATGTTATGTTTATCAGGGTTTGTGCCGTTTTTCACTTTTCAGGGATTGCTACTTTTAGCTGTAGCATGCAAAGTGGTATTTAATTTAAGGTAACTATGGTGATTCTGAAAATGAAGCCCTGTGGTTGCATGTTTTAAAAAATGCTGGTTAAATCAATGCAGCCAGTGGAGTTCAAGACTTTTCAGAATAACCAAAGGAGAGCGTGTAATACGTAGACGCCTCTACAATCCCAAACGTGAGTGACAGGTGTAAGGCACATTTCAAAATGTGAAATTTGAAGTTCACATTGGCTTTCATGAGTTTACTGCTTTAAATCAGAAAGTACTGTACCACGGCTACAACCAATAAGATCCATATTTAAAGCTAATCCAGGTGAACCGATGAGAGGACAGTGCGTTTTATGGTACCTATTTTCCATTGCATTAAAGCCGTTATAAAAGGAGATGTGATGGAACTCAATGCTAGCAGGAGATTGAATCAAAACCAATACATAGGCAGTCAGAATGTTATCAAGTCGCTTTCTATCAGAACCTATTCATGTGCGTGTTATCAGTTGCACAAAGCAGAGCTATTTTATTGTCTGCAATTATTATTGGGATCATAACCTTCAGAAATCACCCAAAAAATATAATTATCACAGTCTTTTCAGAGCAGTAAGAAACACTGTTGCCTGTATTCTTCTGTTTTTTTGAATATACAACCTGCAGTGGCCTGAGCATGCCCACTGTGATCACACTCGCAGCAGGCGGGCATTTTGGCTCTTAATTTCTTTGGATACCGTCTGACCACATACATATCTACACATATACTGACACACTTGGACCCCCTGCTGAGGAGGGTTGATTAGTGTGGACTCCCTGCTGCTATGAAAGCGAGGGTCGTCAAGTGCATTCTGGGAAGAAATAAACAAGGGAAATGTGTGTCTGGGAAGCGCTGACGACTCATACAGATCCTGCCAAGCACAAAGTAAAAGAGCTACCAAAAGGCAGCAGATGCTCTTACACATATGGTTCAAATTTATTGACATAGGCAGCATGTCAAGCCATGTGTATTAATTGGCAGGAGGACCTCGCTACTGAGGGTGATTTGCAGATGACCGTACCTTGAACTTTTTGCTGCAGTGTCCTCAATATTGATATATTACAGTCAGACGAGCACTCAGCTGAATACAATTGAAAAAATAAAATTGTACCGTACTCAAGGGACAGAGGAGATGGGTACAAAGATACTTGGGGAAGAAAAAAAAAAGGAAAAAGTTAAATGCAGAAGAAAGAAAGACAAAGGTGCAAAGATGCAGGCGAGGATGGAAGAATGGATCGGTCGTAGTGTCACTGAAGGTGATACATAGAAGAGAGGGTGAGGAGAGTGAGTGGGCTTCTCTTTCAGCTCCACTAGTAATACCCCTTGCTAAAACATCACTCATATTTAATGGACAGCTACAAGGGAGAGGAGGAAAAAGGAGAACACATACCTTGTATTCATCCAGCACACACATGCACACCACTCTGATGTACACAGAGAACGACACACGTTAAAGACAAAGAGGCCCCGAGACTGGAAGGTGCCTGAGGAAGAATATGGGATTGAAAAGGAGGAAGAGGACCTGAGGGGAAAACGTGTGCAACTGTATCTGTGGTACAGATACAGGCCATCGTGCTGTTAGGTTCACGATGGCCAGACAAACAAAAATGCCTTCAACGAGAAGAAAAATGAATGTTGTACAAAGTAGATGTTGAGAAAGATACAAACATGACTGAAAGATTTTTTTTTTCTTACTTTGACTATCCATGCGCTAAATCCATAATGATCCATCAAGTTTTAGTGTGACGGCAATCCTGACACATATTTTGCAGTAACTAGTTATTTGAAATGACATTACTTTCTTTCTGAAATATTTATCAGCCCATCTCCCCAAGAAAAAAAAAATATATAACTCTTGTGTTTTCTAAAGACATATTTGTCACGTCTTCTCGAACTCACCAGGCTCGAGCCTCAACGATGGCCAGTGGCACGCTGTACGCCTGGTCGCCAAAGAGAACTTTGCGATGTTGACAGTGGACGGTGAAGAAGTGTCTGCCGTGCGTTCCACCTCGCCTCTCAGCATCACCACAGGAGGAACCTATCACCTGGGAGGTAAGGGTGACCCAAACACCATCACAGCAGGGTTGACGTGCACAGTGCACTGTTTTCTTCCAGGCCACATTCACTGCCACATTACCCCACAGCAGCTGACAGGAATACACCCAAGAATAAGACGTTGGAAAAGTAAGGACTGAAATCTCACTTTTAACTCCTTTCTTTTTTTTTTAGTTTTTCATAAACAGTAGTTTCAAAGCATGTTTTATTTTAAGCAAGTATTTTTAATTGTAAATTGAAGATTAAATTTGATCAAAATAAACAAAATGAGCAAACGATATAAAAAAAACAACCCATAAACATTTATGTAAATATTTGTGTATTGCTCTTTTTTCTAATGTCTCTTCAAAAGATCCAGTTACTTGCAAAAGTATTCATTCCTATTTAATTTTGCTCACATTTAGCCACATTGCATATTTTATTATTTTGTGTGATAACCAAAATATTGCATTTTCTAAGTAGGGAAAAGATGTGTTTTTGCTTTGATCTGGCAGCATGTTCTACAATTTGGTGTGTCGCAAACTGAAAATGGGACCTTTAAAGAATTTATTTCTTCTTGCTCCTCTTCCATAAAGGCTACATTTTTGGAGGAGACAAATAGGTGTTTCATCAACACACTGTTCATCTGAGCTTTGGACCTTTCCAGCTCCTCCAAAGTTTCCAAGAAGCTCTTTGCTGCTTCCATGACTGATGCACTGCTTGCCCAGTCTGTCAATTTAAGTGGGCAACCAGGTTTTGATTAATCTTTTTTTCAGGTTAATCAGGCTTGAACATTGCTCTGTGAGATATTGAAAGCTAGAAATCTTGTTTTATGGGCGAGTCTTACTTTAATTGTCTCTAAATCTTTCCCGTCTGTTGTGTTCCTTTGCCTTTAAAGTGTTTTTTGTTCACTAATGTTCCTTCTAATTCATTTTTATGTACTATTTTTGTGTTGATTATTCACATCAAAGCCCACAAAGGAGAAGTTTGTAGTTTGAATGTGACTGTATGGGGCGGCAGGTGAATAATTTTTAAAGGCACTCCGTTTCTTATATTGTAAAATCCCCACAGTCTAAGACAGGTCTGCCACGAACTGCAGTACTTAAATTTAGTCTTTTCATTTTCAGCTTTGTTGACATTTTGCTACTAGTGGATATCCTCTACAGTGAAAACAGCTCAGAAACTACAAAATCACCACAGATTAATCCAGAGCTAGAATGGGCAGCATCTTTAATCTGTACGAACGAGAAGCATGCCAGGTTAATGACGCCAGACACCGTTATCTGTCTGCCAAACGATGTGTGTGCTAGGAGGCTCTGTATGAAATTACAGTAACTGAGAGAGAAAGTGTGGCTCTGATTGCCCCATCATGCCTTAGTCTCTTCTCCCTGGCACAGTTCCATCTCCTCAATCAAGAAAAACCTTTACCTCAGACTAGTCAATAAGCATCAGGGCACTTTACACAAACACACACATCAAGATTCTTTTACATTGTTGTCTGATTAAATTTTTTGCTGATCCATATTGGCAGATTTTTTTTTTTTTTTAGATCTTTTTTTTTCAATGGGCAGCTTTCTGTGTGTGAATGTATCTCCAGTTTTAGCTTTTCCACTTCCTTTTTTTCATTCATTTTAATCAAGGGTTCATTCGATGGCTTTCATTTAAACCCTTAAAAGTTCTTCATTATTATACTTCAATCTAGTTTCTCTTTTTACTCCATGTCTGTCTTCTCTTTTCTTTCCGCTCCCATTTTCTTCTCATCTCCAGTCTCTATTTTGATTGAATTGGTGATTGATTGATTTTAGTAAGCAGAGCTGTGAATCAATGGAGGCTGAGAGGAGAGGATCTCTGCAATGTCTTAACTCCTTGAAGAGGGTATACCAGAAAGATGGATAAAAGAAGACTGTAGCTGCAAAGACAAATGTAGAAATGGCAAAGGAGGGGATCTATGCACAAGTAGCGACCTGAAGAGATTAAAACATTTCTATAGAGAAAACAAGTTAACAAATTAGACCAAATGAAGAAGAGAGGATAAGCAAAATCATCATTATATATACAGTGTAAAAGTGATGTGTACATCTTAACTTGGACACAGTGAAAACAACTAAAGTGTGACAACATTTTATGAAATCAATATGTAATATATTTCAGAAAAACATCCATTCATACATGTAATGCATCACTACAATTCAGAGAAAAATAAATATTTGTTTTTGGGCTTTTCCCCACTGGCAGAGGTAATACGAAGGCGGAAATAGCAGCAGCTGGGACTGGGGCTTTACTTGTTAATTTTACATGACATAATGAATGCTGAAGAGCTGGGAGCCCGGTGGTAAACACAAGTCTGAATGCTGCAGGGGATACAAAACTGTTGACTATTACTACAAAGCAATTCTTAGGACACCAATTTTCAGACATGGAAGGGAATTTGTGGAAGACACTTGTGGAAATGCCGAATCCAACAAAACAAAAACAAACATTCATCGCTTTCCAAACCCATTCACACCAAACATCACTTTTTGTATATTTTGTTGATGTTTTAAATCTGAATTTAAAATGGATTTTAACAGTGCCAAACAATTTAATTGCAAATCAAACTAAAAACAGAACTGCTACAGTCATACCCTATGGCTTTTTGTCCAGATGTGGCCTCCCTCTTCTTGAATGATGTCCGTGGTGTTATCACCACGTTAGTGCATTTATCCCACCTAAGAATCTCAGATAATATTCAGCACTGCATCTCGTTTACTGAACTAGAGTCATCTAGAATTACTCAGGAAAGGTACAGAAGTGAAATGGGTAAATTTAGTACAGCAGATGAAGGCCATATGCTATAAATTAATTTAATATTTTAGAATGCAGAAGGGACATGGTTCTACTTTTTAACATTTGCTTATACTTTCCTGAAAACAATGAATAATGTTTCTGTGTTTTATCGTTTGGCAAAACTAGTTTGCTAGTGAAGTTATCAGTTTACGGTTTGACTCCATTTGAGCAAGTGGGACACATTGATTTGTGTGTAAACTTAACCAGTGCCACGTGGATCAAACAGGGTGATACACAAACTCTATTGCTGCCGTTCTTCTGAGCTTGCTCTTCATTTTTTAAACATTTCTCTAAGGTAGAGGTGTCAAACTCCAGTCTTCAAGGGCCAGTGTCCTGCAGCTTTTAGGTGAACACACCTGAATCATATAAATAAGTCATTAGCAAAATGCCAGTGCACAAGAAGGTAATTCAGTTCTATATTTTAGGTGTTAGATGTGGTCAAAAAGTATACTGTACAAGTATATATAATTAATATGTACTTATACAGTATACTTTTTGTACTGATCAGTACTCTTGGACAATCCCAGTTCCCTTACAGCAACTTCACAAATAATAGCAATTTAAAGCACTGTCTGCGTAGGCTAATGTGCACATTTTATTTTTTAATTTTTTTGCCTTTTAACTTGTCTGAACAGAATGTGTGGGTGTTTGACCAAAAGCCATGAAAGTCCGCAGCACACAGTTGAACATGTATTTAGACCTCAGATGGAAAATCTGGAGCATTTATTTAAAACGCTCCAAACCATCAGAGGGCAATTTTCATCCTAGAACAGAGGCAACAGAATAATATATCGAGTGTACTAAAGATAGTTTAGCCTTTAGCTTGCCCTCAATTATTCTTTCCGATCACTCAACTTGATGAGTCAAACAGGCCAGGCAAATTAAGCTGTCCTAAAGCTCTCAAACAGTCTTTCATCAGCACTTCCTGGAAGGGAGACATTACATTCACTGTGCCACAATTAGCAGAGACCCCTTTGTGTCATGAAGAGACTATGTTCTTTTCTATACATGACAAGACCAGAGATAATTGCTCTCAGTAATTTATGTAGGTTCAGTCATCCATGTAGCCATCTGCTTCAAATCACAAGGATTTAAGGCGTTCATTTGCTTTCAGTGGAACCTCTTATGTCGAGAGAAAAACCCAGCAGGAGGAACTACAGTCACCTTTTGAGTCATTTTAAAACTGTCTGTGCTTATTGTCCAACCACAGTGCTAAATCACAGCCTGATTAGTGTTGGCTCAAAACCGTTTGCACCTGGTCCCGTTCTATTTATATTTATGCGAGGTTTCCTGGATTTTGGAATCAATTAAATATTTGCTGCAACTAAAGCCTTTTAGTTGCAGCATAAAAGGCTTCATGTTTGAACCCCTTCATTCAAAAAATGAAGGGGTTTGTGAAGAACAAACCCCTTCAATTTTGTTGCAGCTTGTTTTATTTTAATGGGGTCACTGTATTTAATTCCTGTGAGTCTAAAATATCTGTCACCTGCACTGCCCCAGGTACAAAGAAATTGTATATATATGAACAAAACAAAACAAAACAAAAAACTTAATGATGTTGCAGTACACTCCATCCAGTTTTATTGGAAAGCCTTCTGGGATAAAAGCTGTTCACAGATAATTCAGGGATGGTCAGTGGCCTGCAGTGACAGTTGGCTGTTAACTACGTACACAAAGTTTTATTTGTCTTATTTGCACTATGTCATGATCAAGTTTATTTGCATTACATCTTCCAGCAACAAAGCAATTCAAAGTGCTTTACATGATAAAAACACAAACAACAAGAAAGCACATTACTCTGCAATGGGAAAATAAAGAAAAGTAACAAAAAGCTGTAATCCAGACTACAACTAATGATAATGTTCCAGTTATTATTAGTCAAAGACTATTCTAAGCAAGTGTGGTTCAGACCTGAATTCAAAGAAAGTTAGAACCGAGTGGTCTTTGCTACTCAGGTCTTCTGGTTCAAGTGACATGGAGAAGCAGCATTCAGGTTGCTTCTTCTAACCTGGAACAAACTTCCAGAAAAATTCAAAAAAGTCAAAAACACTTAGTTTCTTTAAATCAAGACTAAAAACCCACTTGCTTAGGAACACCTCTGAAAACAAATACATTAATATATATGGTGTATATTTGATGCTTGCTTCATATCTGGTTACTGTTATGCATTGGTCATGTAAATCACTTTGAAC